CGGGGAAGACCCCCTCCTTTAATGAAGCGTTGACAACAGCCTGGATCCAGTCTCCAGTCACCTCTCTGGCTGCCGAAACTAGCCAGGAGGGACAAGGGTCCAATAAACACATGGAGGACCCCAGCCTACCCATAATCCTGTCCATGTCATCCAGCGAAACAGGCTCAAACTCAACCCAGATGTTTCCACCAAGACTAGCCTGTCACCTCAATGGACTCTGTCCAGCCGGAGTCCAACCCGGTCCGAATCTGAGTGATTTTATCTTGCAGAAACTGTGGAAAATCCTCAGCACGGCCCTGCAACGGGTCCTCCCTCACTCCCTGATTAAGGAGGGAGCGGGTCACTCTAAACAGGGCTGCTGGGCGGTTTTCTGCAGATGCAATGAGAGTGGCGAAATAGTTACGTTTCGCCACTTCCATCGCTACAAGATAAGACCTAATATGGGTTCTTAGTTGTGTTCGGTCAGACTCGGATCGGGAGGATCTCCAACCACCCTCCAGGTGTCTTTTCCGACGCTTCATTTCCCTGAGCTCCACGGTGAACCAAGGAGCCGCCCAGGATCTGCCTTGGTTCAGAGGCCGCAAAGGCGCAATTCAATCCAGGGCCCCCACCGCAGCCCGTTCCCAGGCTGCAACAAGAGCCTCAGATGAATCGTGAGCTAAGGAGGCGGGAAATGACCCAAGCTCCATCAGGAACCTTTCGGGTTCCATCAGGCGCCTGGGGCAGAACCATCTTACCAGCCCCGCACCCCTGCGATGGGGGATAGCAGTGGGAAAGTCAAGCCTAAGGAGGGAATGATTGGTCCATGACAGAGGTCGATCGATAAAGTCCCCTCCCCACGATCATTTATCCACCGTCCAGAGAGAAAAATCAGGTTGAGTGTGTGTCCTCCAATGTGAGTTGGGCCCTATACAATCTGAGTTAGGTCCATGGCCGTCATGGAGGTCATCAACTCCACACCAACTCAGATGTCTCACCAGCCAACGGCAGGTTGAAATCTCCCACAACCAAAAGGTTGGGTAGTTCCACCGCCAATTCGGCTAAGACATCTAGTAGTGCGGGCAGGGCTGAGGCCACGCAGCTGGGGGAGAGGTACGTGATCAACAGCCCTGACTGAACTCCAGGGTCCCATTTCAAAAGAAGGGATTTACACCCGCCTATCTGAGGAACGGTGACCTCCCTAGGACTGAGACTTTCCTTTATAATTACCGCCACTCCTCCGCACCTCCCCTGGAGTCGCGGCTGGTGAAGTATCCGGAAACCTGGGGGACATAAATTCACGAGAGGGACACCACCCTCCGGTCCCAGCCAGGTCTCAGTGATACAAGCCAGGTCCGCGTCCTCCTTGTCAATTAGATCTCGAATGAGGAGGGCCTTGTTCACCACAGACCTGGCATTCAAATATACCAGCCGGAGTCCAGGGCTCCACACTCCGTCGCCGTCGGGGGAGCAGGATGAGCTGAGGGGGCAGGAGAGCGCCACCGCTTGAACAACCTCCGCCTCTCCCAACCATCACAGGGATTGGAAGACCCTCTCTCCACCGAGCCTCATCGTTCCCTCCCCCTCCCCCCTCCCCCCACAACCATCCAACGGGCCCAATTGCTGAACCGTAGGAGCCGCCCCCGGCTCATCCCTCACACCCACCTCTCGGGTCCCCTTAAAATTTGGTTAAAAGTCTTAATTAAAAAACCCCTCAGACCACGCTTAGAAGCATGCCACCACTCGGGGTTCCAAAACCCGTCCTTGAGGTAGGCCTTCGATAAATCTGAAGGCCATGTCTGCGAGAGGGGGGCATCTCGCAGAACGAGGAGGGTCACCGAAGTGTAAACCAGAATAAATACGAGAAGTGGGTGGGAAGACAGCGACAGGGAACCGAGATGGTAAACAAGAGAGGAAGAATAACAAGATAGGAGTAAACCAGGCCGGCAAACCAGGCCGGCATGTCCACCACTCTCTCACAGCGGTGGGGGAGTCCAGAAGCTGCAGCGAATGAATCCAGCGGAACCAGCCGCAACCACCTTCTCACGGTGGTTAGGTGGGGAGCAACCACCAGCGGAGTAATGGAACAGTTCCTAGGGACATGATGCAGCAGCAATCCACCAGGACTCACAGCTCTTCAGCCTGTAACTCCATGTCTCTGTCCAATACATCGAGTCCAATGAAGGCAGTAATAGGGGGTAAAAAGATGAGGTGTAACACATCGCGATGAGAGAGAAGCCAGGGATCAGATGGCAGTTCAAAAAGGAGGAGGATGACAAGGTCCCAATAAACAACTGAAGATGAATAAGCAGGCGGGCCAAACCAAGGCAGGCAACAGTCCAGGGGGGGCATCAAAAACGGGGGAGGGAGAGGCCCCAGGGAAGAGCAAGATGGATAATTACCACTTCCCCTCCGGCCAACTCCCAATCCCCAGATCTTCTTCAGGTCCACCAACCCCACAGTCATAGTCTGTCCACGCTGGGATATTACAACCCAGATCCAGATCTTCCCGGCCTCACGCCCTTCAGGGGCTATTAGATGTAATCCCAGCAGAATAATCTGCTGGGCCATAGTCCCTTCATCTCCGGTGTGGCATTCACCACCATCGACAAGGCCTCCACAATGCTCGCTGACCTAATCCCAGCAGATTCATCAGGGGGGCTAACGATCTTACAGCAACCACAGCGCCTGTAGCACCCCCCGATGTAGAATTGCTGAGTGTATACAACATCTAAAGCGCCGATCCGGCCAATGAAGCTCTGATGGCCGCGGCGCTGTTGCAGAGGCCGACGCCGCCCTCCTAGCGGCGCCCAGCTGATGCAATCCTCTCATCGCCATCGCCCTCCCCAGGTTGTCTGAGAGCCATCTTCTGCCGGAGACGGCTCATTTAAACTGCCGGAGGCTCAGCATATCGGGCAGGGGGCCGAAGAATGGAAAAACGGCCGCCCCATGGTTTCCCGTTGCTTGTTCTTACATCCCCGATCTCAGCCGGCACTTCGGGGAACCGCCATCTTGCGCATATATTATAGATAGAAAAATATAGTAGGTCCTATTATGCCCTGGAGGCCATGTCTTGTGTTGCAGATGAGCTAGCTCAGGCCTTAATGGCCCATTGACAAAGGGGGTGGGGGGGGGCTGAGTTTTTGCCTCCCTTTTAGGGGGAAATATTCTGCCCTTTTAATATTTCCTAAAATATCTCATTTTCCTAGGAGAGGGGGGGGGGGCCAAATTCCCTAAAACAGAAGGTAGGGAAAAAGGCTTCTTTATTGCTATTCCAAAAAGAGTACAGGGGGCAGCCGACCACAAACTGGCACATCAGTAAGATTTTTTATTCTTACTATTAATAATATTATATTATAATATTATATATTATAAGTCTATTTATCTGCACTACTATTAATCTTCTCATCGTTCCCACCATCCATCTCCTTCCACTTATGACTGTATGACTGTAATTTTGTTGCTTGTATCCTTATGATTTAATTGATATTGTTTCCTGATTGCTAATTTGTACCCTATGACTATCATTAAGTGTTGTACCTTATGATTCTTGATGAATGTATCTTTTCTTTTATGTAGACTGAGAGCGTATGCACCAAGACAAATTCCTTATGTGTCGAATCATACTTGGCCAATAAAGAATTCAATTCTATTCTATTTTACATATCATATTGAGCCCTTTGTGTAAGGCATGAGATCACAAGAATGTGATAAATGAGTTTATGGCCACAGGTAAACAGGAACCACCGGTGTGATATACTTTTATGGTCAGAGGAACTTAGAAAATATTTTGTCTGTTATGTCCCTCATCAGGAAAGATCTTCCTGATCTTTCAGGAAGAGGTGCTAAATTCCCAAGACTTTTAAATGCTGACTGGCTCCAGCGCTAGATTCCTGCCTGTCAAGTGATTTATTGCCTTTAAGAAAACATTGTATTTTATGAGTGGAGACAAGTTTCTCTGACTCCAGATCAGAAGGCTGTTAAGGGGGGGGGGCAGATCAAAAGCTTTAAAAACTTATCAGTCTTTTTCAGCCTTGCCCCTTTTCCAGGAATTGTCCCTTTATTTTTCCCAAGAAAATATGGTCACTGTATCTACTACAACCCGCATTGCAACCTCTGGAATTTCAAATGTACAGGAATGTGCACAGCCACGTCCATCGTTTTTCCAATATTCAACAATTTAGAACACAATGGGGTTTTCTTGTTTTTATCCCTCAAAGCAATATTGGAATTCAACATTGAACTGAATATTCGTTTGTCAACATTTTCCTCCACGCTGAGGTCAACGATCATTTCCATCGCCCAGGCCAGGGGTCTCCAACCTTGGCCACTTTAAGACTTGTGGACTTCAACTCTGTAGTACAGTGGACTACAATGAGCCTGTAGTACAGTGGACTAAAGCACTGTTATTAACATCTGCTGCTTGCAATTACTGCAAGTTCAAATCTCACCAGGCTCAAGGTTGACTCAGCCTTCCATCCTTTCAAAGGTAGGTAAAATGAGGACCCAGATTGTGGGGGCAATAAGCTGACTTTGTATAAATATACAAAAAGTATGAAGGCTATTGCTTAACGCATTGTAAGCCGCCCTGAGTCTCGGGAGAAGGGCGGCATATAAATTAAAGCAAAAAAAACCAAAAAAAACCCTCCCAGAGTCCCTCAGCCAGCAAAGCAAAGCTGGCTGAGGAACTCTGGGAGTTGAAGTCCACAAGTCTTAAAGTGGCCAAGGTTGGAGACCCCCTGTCCAAGGCGGCCTCTCTAGCCTTAATCTTGTTTCCTTCTCTATGGCATGAGGCGCTCAGTTTCGCTACCCTCCTTTGCAAAAAACTCAACCGTCGATTCAATCCCAACGCAGCTTCGCTCTTTAGCTCCACCCCACGTGGCCCCGCCTCCTAGTTGCCAAAGCAGCCAGACAGCAGCCAAAGGCTAGGCGGCCGTCGGCCAGGGGGGCGGGCGCGCGGCCGAGGGGCGGTTCCTCCTTCTAGCCCCGCCCACTCAATCCATTCTAGCCGAGGCAGTTGGAGCCTGGCCTTCGCGGGAGGAGGAGGCGCCGCCGTGTCGCGGAGGTCGGGAGTGGAGCGTTCTCGGTGGTGAAACGTAAGAGGGGGAGAGAGAGAGAGAGAGAGTAGAAAGCCGGTCAGGAAACGGTAGAGAAATGAGAAGAAAAAAAAATGTACCTTTTCGGTTGCTGCTTTTAGAAGGAGGCTGCGCTTTTTTTTTGGGTGGTTTGGTATCTAAGGAATGGAGTGTGGAGGAAGATGTGGGAAGCTGAGTGTGATCGAAGCTACAGGCTAGTGTTGAAAGTCCTGTTGAACTCGGAGGAATATACTTCAGAGTAAATGTATTTCGAAGGAGGATGATATGACACTTCCTTGAGGTTTGGCTTGGCTTTTCCCGCAGCCCCAGCTAATTCCCCCCCCATCTGTTGCTCTCCAGGTGTGTTGAGTTATAGTCCAGCTGCTGCAGCCATGCCTTTCCAGACGGAGGAGAGTTGTAGTTTACCTCCCCAGGAAGGCTGAGGAAGTTTATTCTCTTGCAAATGTTTCTCCTCTTCTTAGAAAACAAAACGCACTTCTTGACGGTGAGAGAGAGAGAGAGACTGGGTCAATAGCAAAGGCTGGGAAAGCCCAGCAAGCAAAGGCATGATAAGGCAACGTGGTGATAAAGATGATTATTATTATTTTTATGAAAGCTGAAATGTTAAAAAAACATGATGCTTTTGTGTACAAACAGGGCTTGCAAGTACATTTATTTATACTTCCAGCCTTAACATTGTTCCGCCAGATGGGCTGGGGTCTATCCGACAGCCTAGCTGGCTGGGAAAGCTTGTGGCAGCTGGAGAACACCAGGCTGGGAAGGGTTGGTTGGTATGCACTGCCTTCCAGCTGATGTCATCTCTGGTAACCGACAGGAAGGTCCCTAAGATCCCGTGCGAGGCTAGCTTCTGTTTACTGTGTTGGTGATCGAGTTGAGACAGTTTTTTTTTTGTTTTGCAAACCCTGTTCGTTTGCGTGATGCTTCCTAGTACAGTGAAAAACAAACAAACAAACACCTTTTGAAAGTATTTTCTGGATTGACGATTAGTTGGGTGGTAGGTAAAATTGTATCATATTTTATGTTAGGATTAATAGTAAAAACAGCAGTGACCACATGCTAGCTTTCTTAAATCCCTCAACTGCTTTCTTATCTGCTCCTGCATCCAGCCTAAGCTCCTTCTTGATTTCAAAATCTTTATGGCTCTAAGCCCATCTTACCTTGTTCATTTCTTCTGCAGTTCAAAGGTTTCCCTTCTCTCCTCAGGAGATTTGCCTTTTCCAGCATTACTGCCACTGGGCTTGGAATTGTCCCTACAAAGAGTTGTATCGTACTACTGCTCTCATTGTTTTCAAAAGGAATGTTTTCTGTGATGTTTTTAACATGATATGCATCTTATTTCCAATGTAAACCTGTAATTAACCCCCACCCCCACCCCCACTCCCACTATACATAGATGAAATAAATTGTTGTGGGTAGGGACCAAGGAAAACTGAGGTTCAGAGTCCATCCTTAGTCATGGAAACGTATTGGGTGACTCTGAGCTAATCATATTCCTGCAGCCCAACCTACCCCACAATCACAGGATTGTGAAGATAAAATGAAGAGAGAGATTGGTATAAGCCCCCTAGAGCTTTTGGATGAAATGTGGGATATAAATCTAAAAAATAAACGTTTTTTTAAATTTATGTAACCTTACTTTCCTTTGTTTTTATATAGGCCAAACATTTTGGGGACTTTGGATTTTGAGGGGCAAATTTGGCTCCATGAATTACCCCCCCCCCCAGCAAAATTAAGTGACCCAAAGAGTTTCCTTGTGAATGAAATGATGGACTAACATTTTTGCAACGCTTCTTCATTTTGCCATTTAAAATTCTCATTCCTCAAAAATCAAAACAAAACAAAACCCTGAAACCCAGATCAAATGGCTTGCTCTTTTTGGAGGGAGCTTTTTAGGGCCTCAAAATAGCTAGTGGAACCTGAAGTTATCAATTAAATAGTATTGCTACATGATTGCTCTACCTTAATTATAATGTATAGATTAATACTTGGTGACCGCAGCAGACTAAAGTGCTATTAAGTAGCACCAGCTGCCTGCAATTATTGCAAGTTCAAATCTTACCAGGCTCAAGGTTGACTCAGCCTTCCATCCTTTCGAGGTAGGTAAAATGAGGATCCGGATTGTGGGGGCAATAAGCTGACTTTGTATAAAAAAGAACACTGCTTAGGGGGGCCCGAAAGCCCTACTAAGCAGGTATATACAAAAGTATGAAGGCTATTGCTTAACGCATTGTAAGCCGCCCTGAGTCTCCGGAGAAAGGGCGGCATATAAATTGAACCAATAAATTAATTAAATAAATAAATAAATAAACAAACTGCGTTCTCCAGATTGCCCTAAATCCATTGTCATTATATGATTGATCACATCTCATGTCAGCTCTAGGCACTTTGACCAATTGGTGCATGGTGGACATTCATATCCAAAATACATGGAAAATAATATGTTGGGAGAGATACGCTCACCTATGTCGTCCTTAGTTTCTTAGAACAATATAAACTGATTTGTATAGTTTTTTTCTGGGATATCACCAGTTTGCAGCGCAGAGCTGTTTTTCTTGGAGTTGAATACTATACATTTCAAACAGATATGTATTAAATAGCACGCGGTGTAATTTAATATGTAGGTTGCTCTCAGACTTGTGAAGTAACACAAGCCTTTTCTTCCCCATTTTCTATGTGACATAAATAAGGAACAAGAGGAAATTGCTTAAATTTCAGCATTCTCCCAAACTGTGCTGTTGCTTAGAAATATAACAGAATAACAGAGATGAAAGGGACCTTGGAGGTCTTCCAGTCCAACCCCTGCTCAAGCAGGAAACCCTATACCATTTCATACAAATGGTTGTCCAATATCTTCTTAAAAATCTCCAGTGTTGGAGCATTCATAACTTCTGGAGGCAATTTGTTCCATTAATCAACAATTTGATTAATTGTTCTGTCAAAATTTCTCCTTAGTACTAGGTTGCTTCTCTCCTTGAGTAGATTCCATTCATTGCTTTTTGTCCTGCCTTCAGGTGCTTTGGAGAATAAGTTGATCCCCTCTTCTTTGTGGCAACCCCTGAGATATCAGAACACTGCTATCATGTAACCACTAGACCTTCTTTTCATTAAACTAGACATACCCAGTTCCTGCAACCATTCTTCATATGTTTTAGTCTCCAATTCCCTAATCTTCTTTGTTGCTGTTCTCTGCACTCCCTCTAGAGTCTAAAAATCGTTTCCATATTGTGGCGACCAAAACTGGATGCATTATTCCAAGTGTGATTTTACTAAAGCATTATAAAGTAGTACTAACACTTCACCTGATTTTGATTCTATCCCTCTCTTAATGCTTGATTCTATTCCTGTAAGAATGCATTGGCTTTTTTTGGGCAGCTGCAGCATACTGCTGGCTCATGTTTAAGTGATTGTCCACTAAGACTCCAAGTTCCCTTTCATAGTTACTACTATTTAGCCAGGTACCACTTATTCTGTAACTGTGTATTAGTTTTTCTTGCCTAAGTGTAGAACCATATTTTTCTCACCATTGACTTTCATTTTGTTAGATATGACCCAGTGTTCCAGAGATTCTTCTGTATCTTGATCCTATCTTCTGAAGTGCTGGCTATTCTTGCCAGCTTTGTATTGCCTGCAAATTTGATGAGTTCCCCTTCTAAATCATTAATGAAGATATTGAAGTGTACTGGGCCTAAGACAGAACCTTGGGATACCCCACTGCATACTTCCTTCCATGTAAATGCAGTTCCATTGAGGACTACACGTTGAGTGTGGTTGGTCAACCAGTTATGAATCCATCTGGTGGTGGTGCTGTCTAACTCATACTTTTCTATGTTATCAAATAGTAGGTTGTGATCTACTTTATCAAATGCCTTACTGAGGTTCAAGTAAATTATATCCACAGCATTTTGCTTGTCTGCTAATTTTGTCACTTTGTCAAAAGTTTTGTCTGGCATGATCCGTTTTTGACAAACCCATGTTGGCTTCTAGTTATGACTTTGTTTGCCTCTAGGAGTTTGCAGATTCGTTGCTTAATTATCTTTTCCAGAATCTTCCCAGGTATTACTGTCAGGCTGATAGGTCTGTAGTTTCCTCGATCTATTCTCCCCCCACCTTTTTTTTAAAGATGGGATCTATATCAGCCTTTTTCCAATCCTCTGGTAGTTCCCTTGTGCTCCAGGATCAGATATAGTTCAGTGGTTCTGAGGTCATGTCTGCCAGTTCCTTCAGAACCTTGGGGTGTGTAATCTATCTGTCCTAGTGATTTGAACTCATCTAGAGTGGATGGATGTTTCGGTGTTTTCTTGTTTATCCCAAGTAATATGTTTAGAAAACAATATTATATTAGCTCCAGTTGAGATCCAAATTGATCTTTGAGATAATCTCAACTGGTTTTGGGATGATTTTGTTGGAAGAAGTTGCATGGGTAACAGGAAATGTACACATTCCATGAATCAACTTGACTTGTACATTCTTCTTGGATGTAATGAGATCTTAATAAAAATGTAGCCAGTATTGCATGGTGACTTATGATAATCAGTAATGTAATTGCCCAGAAGAAACAATCCACAGAGATGGTTATATGGTAAATGTATGTTGTTTCTCAAGGCTCTACAGTGGTGGGTTGCTCCCGGTTCAATCCGGTTCTATAGAACTGGTAGTAAAACTGAAGGGAAGCTCCGCCTACCCGCCATGACATCATCATGGGTGTTTTGCGCATGCGCAGAAGCGCGAGAGCAAAGCAAGCACGTATGCGCGGTCCCATTGCGAATCAGTAGTAAAGGTAAGTAGAACCCACCCCTGAGGTTCTAGAATATTGTGATGTCATACAACTTAATAGACTTGGTGCAAACAGAACATTGAAGCATCAAAGATCTTAATTGTTGAGAATGTTTTTTTTTTAAAAAAATGCAGCATTTTTAAAGGTCTGATTTAGGTAGCTGGATTCTCAAACTTATGGAAATTATCCATTTTTAAAGTGACACAATCTTTCAGACATGGGAGAGTTATGTTAATTTGTGATATTTTTTCAAATTTTATTAAAAGGAATAAACTTTCATAACTGTAGGTCACATCATTGAATGAAAACTTAACATCGTTTAATAAAATTTGTAACTGGAAAACACTACGTCTTTTGATTTATGACATTTTAGAGTAATCAAGGTATTAAATGAGCTTTTTCCAGTTTTCTGTCTCCAAATGCATTGGGGCTGCAACCATCTTCTTAAAATAGCCAGGGCTCTCCAAGGATAATGGTAGTTGTAATACATCACATTTATAGGATGCTCAGTTGGGGAAAGAAATATGACTCCCTAGAGAACTTGGCTTGTTAGTCTCACAACAAAAACAACAAATAACTTATTGCTCTTGCATGACTAGCACAATTATTTTTGTAGAAACTTTCATGCATCATAATCTATGATGCGTGAACATTTATGCTACCAGTTTGCCACACAGGGACAACACAAGTTTCAAGGCACCCATGATATTCTACATAATATATTACCCGTAGAACCCCCAATTTTTGTTTTAATATTTCTTTTTAAAATTAGATGAGCAAAATTTGGGCATCAAATCTTTGAGGTAAAACAGCTGGAATCCCACTTTACCATTTGTATTTTTTGTATTAGAATACAAATACCCCCCCCCCCTTTTAAAAACTGGCATTCCTGTTCTTGTATACAGTCATATACAGCACAGCATTTGCCTCTTGTTGACCCTTGGGTTATGCAGTAAGAAATTTGTTATCTGTTAAGGTGTGAAAACTTTGTTTTTGTTTTTTAACTTCCAGAGTTCCAGTTCTCATCCAAAGGCCAGTGATTATGGATATCTGGAGCTGTAGTTCAACAGTATCCGAATGGTAGTACAGTTCCTGCCCTCCCTTATATTGGGTGCAATGATGAATGAGTTAAGCAGTTTTAGATGCCTATGGTTAAAAAATAGCTTGGGTTTTAAATTTCCTCTCTTTGTTAAAAGTTACGTGGAAGTTTGAAAAGAATTGGCAGCTTGTTTGCTTGACTAGATCAAATTAACAAGTAGCTGGATTTTCCTAGCAAACCAGGCCATAAACCATGATTTTCAAGCAATAGTTGCTATGTCAGCCTTTTTGCCTGAAGGTCCTCCATGTATATAACCTTCATATCCCATCCAGCCTAGCCTTTGCATAAATTTCTAGGAGGCAGTCCATATATCTGGAGAGTGTCTGTAGGTTGGGGAACATTGGAGTAAGTTCACAAAATACATTAAGCCCAAACCAACAATGACATTATTGCTTGGTGAATTATGGGCAATAACTTCTGTGTAACCAGTAGTGAAAGGGATTTGGATGGGTGCAGGAGCAGGATAGGTGAATTTTAAACATACTAAAGTAGGCTCAACAACATCTAGTGCACAGATCCTTCCCACCTTAAAGCTATTTTTAATATGTTATTTTTGCTGCTAGACAATTTCTTCCACTTTTGTTTGTGATATTTTGGTTGAAATGTTAAGGAATAAATGGTAACAAAATCTTACAATATGGAATACATATGGTCAGAATGCTAAGTAACTATTTCATTATTTAGGTGACTCCAGGTCATATATTAACCCCCTCTTCTGATGTTCTGGTTTTTCTTTTTTTAGCAAAATTACAATATTCTTTAGACCAACATGTTCCTTCCTCATTTTACTAGGTTTTTTTTTTTTTGCTACCTTAAATATTTAAAAAAGATACTTTATGATCCCACCTAAGCCTTTCATTATTTCTATCTGTTTACTACTAAACCTTTCCTGGTTGTTGAAAAGTTGTATCATAGAGCACCATTTTTTGAATCAACATACTTCAGTGGATTAATGTAAAGAATGCATCCAAATTTTAATTACTCCTATGGGATTGAACTTTAGCAAAGTTGTGGCTACTTCAGTGCTGCTGCACTGCCGTGATTATGTGATTGCCATTTCTGGCATTCCCAGTTTCCCACAAGAAAGATTAATGGGGAAGCCTGCAGGAAGTCAGAAGTCATTCTGACACCCACTGCTTTTTTACCTGTTTGTGGTCATTCTGTTTCTCTGTTTAGGTAAGGAAATATTTCTAAAATTATGACCCAGTGGGTCACAGATTGTCTAATGTCTTCTAATTTGATTATCTCTCATCTCCTCCTTTAGTTATTTTTGTTTGTAAAAGTTATATAGGTATAATTTATATAGCTGAATATTTTCTATATGTCTTTTTCTTTCTTTGTGCCTTTTCCCATTCCCCACAAAAGAACACACATGTACTTGTGGAAGTCCTTTGGTTCACTAGAGCACCTACAGACTTTCTTCTTGAGTATAAATATGTTTACACTAGTTAACCATCATGGTAGGCTCCTGAGTTTTGTTACCGATAATATACCACATACCTCACTTTCCTTAAGGATTCTGAAGCGCTCCAGTGCAGTGGTTACTAGACTAGGTTTTCTTTAGAAGAAGATATTGGAAGATATTACAGAGTCCTGAAATATTTGGTGTACTTAAGAACTTATGGGTAACAGGTACAGACCAGCACATTCAGTTCTTTGTATCTCATTCTCTGATGCAGCTATTAAACAAGCCCAAGGCTCTGGACAGCTATTACCTCAAGGCAACTTGCACATACGTAGAGAGGACACCCCTAACAATGGGAATGTTGATACTGCATAATGTAATGGGAGATGAATGGTACATCTGCTCCATATACACCAGTTAAATGAGTAAACTATTGAAGATTGTAAGTGAGGTAAACAGTTTTGGACAAAGTTGTATGCAGTCTCAAAGATCTGTGTAATTTTGACACCTGAAATGTTATATTTTTAATTGCTTGGTGGTACTGACATGAAATGTAAGTTAGAGGAGAATTACTTAGCTCATGAAATTTATCATATAAAGTTCCTAAGGGTTTCTGTTAGATAGATAATTAACCAGACATGTTTTGGAGTCCTAAATACCTTTAAGCTCTGATTTTTGCTTTACAAGTTAAAGGAATACAGAATAAATCTTAGTTTAAGGCAGGTTTCCTTGAATTCACATTGAATTTAATAGAATTTACTTTCTAGTGAACTGAAGGGTAGAATTTTATTCCAATTGTGAGTTTAAAAAGTTACAAAGGGCCTTAAATGATTCTCCTGATTACCTATTAGAGAGCACAGTGGTTACAATGGTTTTTTTTGGGGGGGGAAAGGAAAAAATACTTGTGGTTATGTGTAATTGACGCTACCAATTGATCAGAGAAAGAGGTGCTGTACGTATATATGTGATAGTTAAAAATAATCCGAGGTTTCTTTTCCAGTGAAATCACATTGTCTTGATGTAACAGTTTTAACAACCAAAACATTGGATAATGTAAATAAGGAAAAAGCTGCTTATCTTACAGTTTCATCAGCATTTCATAGCCTTCAATTACTGTCTTGATTGATACCTTTGGCTTGGCTATGAGGTGAGAATAGGGCATTACCACCTTTATGCTTTGGAAAAGGTGTGTAATGTTGTGCCAATGAAGATTACAATGTTTGTTCTCCCAATCTGATAAAGTGTTTTGTGGATAATTCAAGGGGGAAAATCATAGGCTGATCCAGTCTTAACTAGTAAGAAAGCAGATACCAATCTGAATTGCTACTGGATTCTAAGACAGCTCCTGCTTTCAAACAGTTTAGGCAGCAGATATAGTTATTGCATCTGGCTTATGCCTATCAGGTGTTTTGGAAGAGAATTGTCTTTCCTATCCTGCTGCAGTTTGTAAGAATATCAGTGATAACCGCACAGTTTTCATTATTTGACTTGAGGCTGCTGGGAGTAAGCAGCATCGGAGAGCCACAAGTTCTGATGAAGCTGTTGTTCCGGCTAGCCCGGTATTATTTGCTTTAAATGCAGGACCAGCTAGCCCAGTATTCTCTGCTTATTTATCAATTGGCTTTTGACAAGTGTCATTAGAATTGGTCTAATTGAAGTACAAATAAATTTCCCTTCCATATTGAGACATTGTAAATCGTTCATCAATTCTTACTGCAGTTTCCATCTTTTATGATAACATAATTTATGATCTTGCATAATGTAGTCCATGTACGCTCATATCCTCTGGAGCCTCAGCTCTATGAGGAACAAGAAAGCTCCAGAGGATATGGGTATACATGGAGTGTATTATATCGAGTGTTCACATTCCTAGGGTGGAGGACTTGATTGTCAATGCTGGCTGGGGAATTCTGGGAATTGAAGTCTACCCATCTTAAAGTTGTCAAAGATATATTAGTTCATTCAGTCATATTTCTGTTAAATGTGGAATATGATTGAAATCCTCAAAGAACAGGTTTAGCTAAGTTGCCTTATATTGGAAAAGTTCGCGAGGCAAAGCAAGCATAATAGTCTTGGCAATGAATAAACAGTATGCTGGTACATGATGCAGTGGTTATATCCATGTAAGTTGTAAATCTCAGATGTGATTTTTTAACATTTTAGCTCTGTGTAATATTTTCACTAATTTGGCTGTGGAGAATCAAAGTTTAGACAAGTGTCTTTTGCCCCGCTACCTGGAGTGATGGATTTATAAGGCCATTTTTTAAAATACTACAAGTATTAGTTTTGGTTTTTGAGAATTAGGAATATTGTGCCGAATATCTGACATTGCTGATTAGCATTTCTCAATAGCAGAAAGCATCCATATTTTGAAAGCCTATTTCTATATGGCAGAAATAATGTATGATCATTTAGTTTAGTAGTTAATACAACATTTGTGGGTTACTCTTCCAGGACGAGGCAGCCTTTTACATTGCCTATATATTGCTTTTCTCACTTCCTTAAAAACATTTATGGGATTTGTTGGATTTATTTAAAATTGTCTTTCTAACATCTTGTAAACCACTTTGGGCTCCTTGGGAGAAGAACAATATAGAAATAATTATATATAGATGGTTAGTGTCTAGAAAATGCCAGTGTCTATGTATAGGCAGGGCATTAAGAGTTTCTGAGTAATTTCAGGTCACAGCATATTCTTAAAGGAGCTTTTGTAAACACTAGAGCAGGTGTTTAGATGATCACTATAGCAGCGGTCCTCAACCTTTCCGACTTGGCGGACCAGCACGGGAAAGGGGATGGTTGCGTGTGAGCTGCAGGTGTGTGCAAATGGAACTGCATGTGTGTACACTGTGGCCTGGTTCCGGACAGGCTGCAGCCTGATAGTGGGCGGCAGCCCGGGGATTGGGGACCCCTGCACTATAGTAATCAGAATCTGATTAGACTTAGTTTATGCCAGTGTGAATTTTTGAATTGTGTGCATGTTTTCCAACTAGGGTCTTGCTGGTGGGAAACCTGTATCTTGCTAATGTTGTTTTTGGAGCATTTGCAAAGTACTGGCATGTGGATCCATGTTAGATAGACAGAAATGTGCTTTATACTTTATCTGCTTTCAACTGTTCACTAACCTTCTGCTTCATAAGAGAAGGCAGGGTAAAATGTTTGAGTCCTGTGATCTCTTCTATGTAGTAGTGGCTTGAGGCTGCCTAGAACTCACTAGTAGCACTTGAAAGAACATCCTGTCTAGCCATGTTAGCCACTATATTTAGAGGTAGGTGTTTCAAATGAACTGAGCATTCCTGACTGCCCAAAATACAGTAGCTGTTTTCAAATATCACATGAAGCCTTAATGTAGTATGCTTGGGTTTTGGCTTAGCACAAACTGTGGACCAAATTCTTTTTTTTTAAACCATCATTTATAATTTGATATGGGTATCAAATCATAACTTACTGTTATGAATGAACCGAAGCAAGATGACACTGTTCGATAGAAGAGACCCAAGTGTGCCTTCTTAGTAGATCTGGCAAGGCAAGCAGGAACAATAGGAGAGAGGCAGTCCTGCAAATAGCCTGGCCCTG